GGTACCGACTGCTGATTTCGCGCGATAATGTGGTATCACTGAGAAAAAAATACTGTTGCTTCAATTAAATGTGGAATTCCGGGGTGCCAAAAACATAAATAGTTGATTCAATTGTATAAATAGTTGATTCAACTATAGTGTAGTCGTTTTAATAATTCAAACATTGAATCAACTATTTATACAATTGAATCAACTATTTATGTTTTTTGGCACTCCGGAATTCCACATTTAATTGAAGTAACAGTATTTTTTTCTCAGTGTACCTTTGTCAGGGATCTCGAGAAGATCCTCGACTCATCGCGGACGTTTCCGCAAAGATGAAATTACGCGATCGCGTGGAAGTATCGGGAAACTTGAGACAGTGAAAGTGATCCCTCGACCCCGGCGAATGTACCTCCGATGTTCTAATAAATTAGTTGGATGGTGCTGATCAGGCATTCATTCTCAAACTCGTGGGATAAGATCCGCGGGAAGAAATCTCTCGCGTTAAAATTCCTTCCGCATATTATATTGTTTAAGTTTAAACCTTATTATGTTACAATATATTATAATGTATTATAAAAAAAAGATAAATTTTATCGTTGCTTATAGTATTATTTAAACCTGTTTTTTTTTCTATAAAAGTAATGATATAAAACATTGCACTAGTTGGGATTAAAATATTAAATATAAATGATATGAAAATTGAATTCTTTCGCGCAGCACATTTCGATCTAGATCCATTAAAGAAATACAGAAGAAGTAAAGAAAATTTAATAGAAAATAAACTTGGCGATGCTATGCAACAATTTTCAAGTGAGATATTTTAATTAACTAAAAAAGTATCTGGTTATTAACAATAAATGTTTATCACGGCAATATTTATTTTTTATTAGCATACAGGATAATTTGTAACAACAATTTGGATAACTGTGTAACTGTTTTCGTATTAATTAGTCAATAAAATATTTAGTTACTAACGATAATTTTTACTATTATGTCAGTCATCAGAATGTTATCTTTGATCGACACTCGATGGAATACATCGTGATCGGTGAGAGATCGTTATCTCATGGGAGATTTAACATTCTTGATGAATAATTGATCGCGAATACGCATCGCTGGCGCTGTAATGTCTTTAATTGAAGTTACGAAATACCTAAATGTAAACCGCGTAATGATATTAAACACATCATTACTCGAACATAACGCGTTAGCGTGAACGTCCTGCCGTGATTTCACACTCCACCGCGCGTTATTATCGATCTCTTGTTAGAAGCTATTAAGTACCATTCATTTCTACGAGACCCCGTGGCGACTCGGGCGAAGAATTCATTCGGCATCGAGCCCCACTCTTAAAGCCAATTATATCGATGCACCTTATAATCTTTAATTCTCCACGACAGGTGCGTTAACACGCGGACGATGAAAAAGCTCGACACTAAGGATCGTGCGGCCGGTTTAGAAAATGTATTTGTCATACCACCCAGTGGGAGGGGAAAGGATCGCGCTTTCACGCTCGGACCAAGCGTCCCGCGACCGGGATGAGATCACGATCGCGAGAGAGACAATGTCCGAATAACGGCCTCGAATCGGAGTCGTCCGATTTTTGAAGGAGGCCGGTGTCCGACCTTTCGAAAGTGTTTTTTCTCCTCCCTCCCGCCTCCTTGCGTGCCAGCCGGCCTTCTCTCTTCCTCGGTTAGGCTCGAAAAAAAAAGAAGCGATGTTCCCGTGAAAGTTGCCTCCTGGCTACTATATACGAAGTGCCGTCACGCCGCCTCCCTCCCCGGTGATCTCCCCTAACTTACCCCCCGACCTCTTCGCTCCGCTCAACCTCTTACCCTGTCTTCCATCCCATAGCCTATTTCGCGCACAGAGTTTCTCTCCGACGCCAATTTTTTTCAAAATTATGGCTAACACTTTTTTTGTTACGTTTTTAACGAAGTTCGAGGTTTCCTCAAATCCGGAAAAGTTACTTGAATATTCTATATCGATAGACCATCAGCACAACGAATCCGCGGTAATATAAGTTATAAATTATTCTTTTTTGTGCGACAACTGGGAGCGTAATTTTTCTTTGGAGATTTCTCTGCTCCGGTTCATTCGCACACAGCGCAACGCGGAAAGACACAAAGCGGCTAGAATTCAGGAACCGCGCGCATAGGACGCTTGACTTATTCACATCGTGAATTCAAAGCGATTTGAATCGTCGTCCTGTTCCCATCGTTACTCGCGTCACGTGCACGTGAGAGCCCGCGAAAGAGAGAAAGAAAGAGCACGCGTACATATACAGACTGTCGCGCGAGCGTGCCGGCGAGCTTCCCTTTCTTTCTTTTCATCCGTTTTCTCGTCTTCTCTTGCGCGTTAAACTCTCGTGTCAATGAGCAAAGCAGCCTCGCTTTCGCTCGTCGTCTCATCTTTCCCCTCCGGGCAATTTCGAGCAGCGACCAGCTGTTCGTCGCTGTGATGCACGCGACGTATATACGCTTTTCACCCTGCGTGTTTGCCGCACGGTAAACGATAGCCGAGACGACGCATTTTCTCTCCTTTCGATCATCATCTCCTTAAGAAACATGCAGGCACTTCCCTCCGTTCAATTATCTTTAATTTACACTTCTTCTTTTTTTTAAAGACCTACTAAATTGTAAATAAAATTAAAGCGATGTGTGCAAAACTCTTTCTTCGCTAAAGAAAACAAATATTACGTGTTATAACAAACGTGGCTTAGGAGGCTTTGTTAAATTTGAAAAATTCAAGCAAATAAGAAATTAATACAAACACGTAACGAGCAAGTCGATCATTAAATTCGTATGTTACATTCAGCCTGTAACTCCCAATTTTATTACATTACGTGAAAAATAACAGAAATATATTACGTACGATGTATATATCTATAGAGTATATTTGTTCTCTCCTGTTTCTTTCGTCCAAGACTTTCGTTTGCGAACAGATCTTAATTTCGCGATACGAGAATTTGTGTCGCCTTAATTAATTGAGATCCCCAGCTATCTCCTCGCATCCTGTCCTGTAAACACTTTTTAGGAAGACGCGTGCAAATTTCGCGCGTGTCGTATGCATTTCCCATGCGCATTGACGCCTAAAGAAACGCACAAGCATTATTCGCCCAGTCATCGTGGGAAATCCTCCTGCGCTACTTTACGGATTCCATCGGATCTCATCGTCGAGTGTCGAGTATAGCTCGCGAGGATCCTTCGAGAAGCGTTCCGAGAGCGAGAGAAAAAAAAGGAGAAGGAGAAGGAAAGAGAGAAAGAGAGAGACAGAGGTAAGGGAAACGCTTGAACGAAATCTGGCGACGAGCGTCGTTCTCGTCTCTTGATTAGCGGTTGTTTAGAGGAGCAGTGAAAGTTCCTCCGCTCGCGAGAGATGCGCTGCCTTTTTGGAAAGAGATAAAACGCGGCTTCTTCCCGTCTTCTCGCCCTCCCCC